TTAAAGCCATGTGTTTGGACACAGAATCTTACCTGCGACTGTTTCTACTGCCTGACCAAAAAAGGTAGTGAGCAAAGTATTTTGAGTTTTCGTGGTAGGTTCAAAAAAAAAGGTAGTGAGTAAAGTATTTGGAGTTTTCGTGGTAGGTTTTACTGTAGCTTCTGTGCAGAGTTATCTGCTTAGAAACAAAGTCTTTAATTTAAAATAATACTGTAATGTTCGCCTCTTAAAGATTAAAACATGCAGAAGTTGCCATTAAAATCTGTAGAAGAAAAGTCCTGCCCAGAGAAACATTCTGCAGCTAGTTGGCCCTGTGATAAACCTCAGCTGATTTTTCACTCCAGTTCGGTGTTTCTCTATTTTATTTAATCAGTTTTGAACTCATCTTGCAGTAAATATCAAGTCAATCAGTTCACCACTGAGGCCCGAGAGTGAGATTTATAAATGTTGACTCAAATTCTGGGTACGAGGCGTTAATGGTTTTAAAGTACGTTAATTGCCTTTTGCTCACACAGCATCTCTTCACATTCTGTCTCCCCCTCGCTCCCACCGCCACCTGGGTGTCAAACCACACGGTGTGAAAGGTCAGCCTGAACCTGCCAGCCCTGTAAATGCATCTGTGAAATATTCAGTCAGAAGTCTAACAGATGAAGAGATATTGCGCTATTATTTACTTATAATCCTGCAGACGTCTTTGCATAATCCTCCACACATCAATCTTCCACTAGTAGCTGCGTGAGGGCGCTGTTCTCATTCACCAGACTTCATCTGTTTTACCAAACTGGGTACAGATGGTGAGGGAAATAAAAGACAGTTTGGTTCCCATCTGTCATTAATACAAGCAGTGACCCTCGACTTGGCGGCGGCACACAGCAACTCGGGGATGCCAAATTTACCTTCTTACTCAGCAGCTCAAAGTCCCAGCGTGATGTGCACATTACACAAAGGCACTGGAGTTACGGATTAAATTGGTCTATGTAAAAAATGTAAAACCACACCACACCTGAACTCGTGCTTGAAACGTGAAGAAAAAAAAAAGCTGCCGTGTGTTTTGTGTTGGTCTTACTGTGTTGCCACATCCATCATCGATGTCACCGCTCCCTATACGATATGTTAATTTCACCGTGTTACATTTAGATGTGTAGTTTTCCCCAGAGGCACACGTTCATGTTTTCCTGCCGAGCTCGGCGCGTACGGCGTTCCGTGGTTTAAACATCGCGAGTACGGCATATGCTATACTGAGGGAAGCTATTCAAGTCATTTACAAGATAACGCAGATTAATGCACGCTGCCATGTCGACTGGATCAGAAGAAGCTCATCAATCCTAATGATCAGTGCCTGCTCCTCTGAGGCTATATTAAACAGGCCCACTGATCTAACTGTCTCATCAGGAATACAGTACATACCATAACTTTAATGGAGGATCAGTCTATCACTGGGGCCCTGCATGCACCATTATTTTTAAAGCTCATCTCCTCGTGCGTAGTGGAGCATCTGCATAGATCATTTAGTCAAAGTGGAGCAAGGTCTTCTTTCCATGTAAGTTCCAAGGAAAAGCCACAAAGTGTCTGTTGAACATTATTTGTTTCATCTGCTGGATATCGTTTTTAATACTTGACCAAAACAGGGAAGGATGGTTCACATTAACTGACCCGGTAGCAGAATATTCAGTCTTTTATCTTTAAAAAAAATCTCTATGTTTAGGAGATGTTGTTGTTAAAGAAGCAGAGAAATACTGAACTCATACATACGACGATGACACTGCCGTCTAGATAGGACTTAGTGCTTCATACAGCAACACTGCAGCAGAGCTGAGCATATGTCTACTGAGCTGACTAAATATGGAAACAGCTACAGCTGAAGAGTCGGCACGACTAATTTAATTTGGAGTAAAAGACAGGACTGCTGTAAGCACTGCTTTTCAAAGGAGACACGCAAAACAACAACAAATTTAGCGTAGCACAACAGCCCTAGGCAGCAATTTAATTTTTCTTTAAATGTAAACCCTCTCACCTCAAACGAGGTCACTTTCGGAAATCTCGCTCCAAAGTAATGCTACAAATAGCTTCACCAATTACAATGGTAAAAACAAAAATATATATGTTAGGCTGGAAGTTTTTTTATGGAAATAATCTTGTTGGCTGTCAGGAGCTGCTGTGGTGCAACACCAGAGTTCAGGTCTCATGTGCAATTGCCTGCATCCCACAAATATTCTAGAATTCCCCTGGACTCCTCCTACTGGCAGGCCTCGGCTGCCTTTGAGATTTCCGTTTGGATCATTGTCATCTTGGAAGGTCCAATTAAACCCAGGCTCCCCCTTTAGACAGAACGATGTTTTCTCCAAGGATTGACGAATATTTGATTTATTCGTTCTGGCTGCTTACAGTATAACTGTTGTTTTTCCAATTTCCAAATTATCTGGTTTTGGCCTACTGCATCTACAGCGAGTATTGCCTGAATTGTTACTACTACTGTTACTTTGTACTTAAAAACTAGGAAATTCAAGCAAATTCAATCTTTTTTATTGTTTGATCTATTTGTGCAGGAGAATATCATTCTTTAAATTTTTGAACAGGTAGCTGAGAGACACATGCAGTCAAAACAGATGTTTAAATTAAGCCATTTATTGTTGAGGGAGTAGTTTCCTGTTACTACTACAGTAGTATTGTTGTGTTGGTCAGCCTTTTTACACACATTTTGGAGCCTGTGCAGTTCTTTCACCTAATGGGCATTCATTTATAATTAATTAATTAATTAATAATTCAAATAAATTATTAAAAATAAAAAACCTTATGTGCGAAATATAGCAGCATTCTTCCAAAGGTTGCATGAATCTGTGCCGAGGGCTCCTGTGTTCACGTAGGTTTTTAGGAGCCATCTGTGTGCACCGTGCCCCACAGGATGTCCACAGGACAGGAGTCAGGCTGCACACAGTGGCCCCTGGTGCACACTTGACACTGGGCTTCCTTAGGCAGTGACTAAAATAAAAGACCCCTGAAAGTGAGGTCAAATGCTTCATTTGAGAAACACAGACGACTGCTTCAGGCTGTAAAAAAAAAGAAAAAAAAGGGATGCACCCCAAAGAAGAAGAAAGAATGTCCTTAGAGTTATTAGAGCAAGGCCAGAATCAGCGAGTGAGTGAAAAACAGTACCTTAATGACTGGCTGAACTTCGTGGCCGTTCACTGCACTGCAAACCAATGTGGCCCAAATCCATCTCTTTTGCCCACATGTGACCCATATTGGATTTAATTACTCAATAATTTGATTAGTGAGAAAGAACTGTGGTGAGCAGTCGTGAAGAGAGCGAAGGCTCTCCAGTTTATGGGGAAATGGTCAAATTGACGGAATTGTTCAACAAGACCTGTAGTGTGAAGCGAGCCTGGTCATTAGCTCTGGTGAGGTCTGCAGAGGGGGTTGTAACCGCATTGAAAATGTATCTAAAATCATGTTTAGACACAAATCGACGTCCTAATTTTCCCATTATCTTCCACGTGAGAAAGAAACTGTCGATTTTTTACAAATGTCACAAAGATAGTCTCACACCATAAGAAGACAAAATTGCAAAAAAAAAAAGCCTTCAATCAGTGCATCCAAACTTTAGCTCTTTGGTCAGACTAGGCTGACGTGAGGATGCTGCCAGTGCTCCTCTTCCTCCTTTCCATGATAAAGCTGCAGGAAAATGGGGCATTCACACTGAAAACCCTTCACTTGAGGAATTACCAAGCGAAATCTCAATTACAAAGCCTTTCCTTTTTGTCTTTGTATCAAAAATTAAGAGCCTGCAGCTGGTTAACTACCGGAAGAGCCTTTATCACTGTAATCACTCATGAAAACCGATAGTTAAACAGCTGCACTTCCTGCTAAGATGGAATAATCAAAGCCTGTCTGAGAAAAAAACCCGCCGTCACAACTGAGAGTGTAATTCACCCAGAGTTCAGTCTCATTTTGACTGCTCCCACAAAGCAGCAGTTCACATGCAGATTTGATGATGTATGTCAGCATGATTCACAGTTTATTTACTCTAAGTTCTTTTAAATGAATACTTAATCAGCCCAATATAAAGGCGCGGGTTACTGCCGCATCTTAATCAAGCACAATCAGCTGGAAATATTATAACTCAACCTGTCACACACGGGGTAATTCATCAGCGTGCCTCCGTCACTCCGCACAAACGTGAAGCCGGGGAGATGGAGTGAGCTCAGAGCGGGCTGCCTGTGTACATTACACCCAGCCGTGGCATTTAAATCATTCTAATCATTCATCCTACTCTCTGCATAATAATATCTTGCCATTGGAAAGAGGATCCCTGCCACATTACCGACACCTACGTCTCAGCTTCCCACACACACCGAATGCCAACTCACAGGCAAACAATTCACGCAGTGCGTTCACACAGCATGTACATGTCATATCAGGTTAACAAACTAGTTGTTACATTTTGCTAATGTTCCTCTAAGCAGGGCTTTTCAGGCTTTTTGTTTGTTTGTTCCATGTCTCTGTTTGGTTAGATCCAAACCAGCCATCTGTCCATTTAGACTTCATCAGAGTCTTTAAGACTTGATTTGTCATTCCCCCAGACAGTAAAACACATTTACAGCACTTCTTTCACAACCTTCCAAAACCAAACTTTGTTTTTTAAACACTAAAATTGTTCAAAACTGCCATTTTCAGTGGGCAAAAGAAATTACAGCCAAGTGCAGCAAAGACAGGTGTAATTTCCTTCTATGCGTCACCAGATATGTATGAAATAAAGGCAGTAATAACAATGTCAGAAAACGTTATATTTTCATATTCCTGCCTGATAAGACAAACCCAGTAATAGCTGACCCTGGGTGCAGCAGCCGGGACCACCTTTTGCTGTCGTTTGCAGCACAAGTTTTCCTTTAAAAAAAAACACACCATGTGACTAAACTAAGTTAGAGCCTGATTTAAAAATAAATAAATAAACAAAATTGTCAGACAAAATTTTTCATCCCAAATAGAGGATGAAGGCAGACCTTTTTGTCATTCTGGCCGCAGTCACATCTGCCTCGCACCGGTGTGTGATCGATGTGGTGTCTCAGGTGTTGGACAAAGAGAGGAGAGGACCACACCATCCCTCCTCAGCCTCCCTCTGCTCCCATTGGCCAGCGGGGGATCCTTTTGTTTTGGCTCTCACGCTACAAGAACCCCAACTGCGCTGTTCGTCTGGTGAATGAAAGCTGCACATTTGTGCCCACGGTGGCGTCGACAACGCAGTAATATGCGATTCTACGTGTACTTCAGAGGAAATGCAATCCCTTCGTGAGGTTGATAGCGACGTCATCGGGTCCCCCTTCTCTCACATCCTCTGACCGTGATCCCCGCGTTAACCGTGATGTGAATAGACTGTGTGTGTGTGTGTGTGTGTGTCACAAACAGGGCTGTCTCCCATTAAAACACGCAGTGAAACTGAGTCGACTCCACAGTGAGATGATAGAGAGCCATTCATCTGTGTACGGTCAGCGGGAGCCGCTCCGCTGAAAGGAGCCCGTTATGTCGGCGACGTCTGCGCCTCAGCACACACACTCTCACACAGTCAGCACAGTCAAATCAAACAAAAACTTTTTAATTTTTTCACCCACTCGCTCCACAGACTTGGTCACGGCAGCTTAAAAACCCGGGGGCATGAACTCCAGCCCCACGCACACGCACACAGACCGGAGGGAAGAAGAAGAAAGAGGAGAGTGATCTGCACGAACGGGAATCACGCTTCACGCAGCAAACACGCAACTAATGCCACATAAAACATTAAACTCACATTAAACTTAACCTACCATGAATTTGGTACGCGATGCCGGCAGCGCTCACATCACCACCCGGGTCCGACAACTTCTTTCCGCCCGCTCTGATGTTTCCATCCCGGTCACTTTTCAGTGGATGACTTAGATCTGATGATCCGTGTGATAGTGATAGTTCTGCAGGGTTTTTCACATTTATGTTTTATATTTTTTTGCTGTAGTTTTTTAATCCACTGTAGATTTAAATTGGAACAAGTTTGCGCTGTGACAACTGCTGCGTATCCCTCCAGTCTCCAGACGTGAACTGAGGGTCAGTATCTCTCTCTCTCTCTCTCTCTCTCTCTCTCTCTCTCTGGCTCGCTCACCCGCTCTCCCTCCCTACCGCTCTCTCTCTCTGTATGTGTGTGTCTGCGTGCGTCTCTTTTTCTCTGTCTGTGTTCGTATGAGTTTTTCTCTGCCTCTTTGTCTCTCTCTCTCCCTCTCTCTCTCTTTCTCTTTCTCTCTACTGGTTGGTCTGTCTCTCTTTCTTTCTTCTCACTCTTTCTGTCTCACCCTCTCACCTCCCTAGTCCCCATATCTCTCTCTCTCTCTCTCTCAACCACTCAACCTGTCAATCTGACCTCTGTCTCCTTTCTCTCTCTCTCTCTCTCTCTCTTTCTCCAAATGACCTCTGTCTCTCAACCTGACCTCTGTCTCTCTCGTTCTTATGTAGTTGTCCATAGAAAATGATAAATTGTTAAAAGTGGGCATGAATGTAGACTGAATACATTTGAAGTCACATGATCACAGTATAAAAAAAAAGATAAAGTAATGATGTAAATAATTATCCTTTTTGTACTAATCACCATCTGTTTTGCTATATAACAGTGTTTAACATTGAAGAATTGAATTCTCTTTTTAACTTTTGGCCCAAACACTCCTACACTGTGTAGTCAAAACATAAATCTGTACATAAAAAGGTCCAATTCAGAGCTAATTTAGGGAATTAGACCACAGTGTTAATCATGCATGAACACAGGCTTAGAGACAACAACTGCAGTAACACAAACTGTTTAAAGTGTAATATTTTTACTAAAGTGCAAGAAGAGGTTTTGTTTTTTTTTCTCCTTGTCTTTCCCTTTATTCCGTTCTTTTTTCTCTCAGTCCTTCTGAGGACGGAGACGCACTGTGAAATTGGTAGCGACACATACTGTATAAACAGTTGGGCACAATGTCACTGTGTATTAGAATACAGGGCAGTTGAGACGAGATCCAAACTCATGATCGCAGCATAAGCCTCAAGATGGTGTCTTAATGGTGGAAGTGAAGACAGAGTCAGAGTCTAAAAACAAGACAGAATAAAAACCATAAGGGGAGGTGGATTGAGGGGGAAGTTTATGAAAGAAAATTAGTTTTAAAAAATTGAGTATTAAAATTAAAATTAATATTCAAAATACTAAATATAATATTTTTAAATTGTCTTAATTATCCACTTCTTATTGTTCTTCTTTACCAATAGCTAACACAGAGCCCATGTCATGTTAACACTGAAAAAAATTATATAATTTTTATGTCAAAATTCACATTTTGAGATCATTTTCACAGCCTAGTGTCCAGTGCAGGGTAACGTCACCGTAGCCTGCTCTTGATTAAAATCATGAGCTGGCTGAGGGGGGAAAAGTTTTAGCCAAGGTTAGTTTTATGGTAAACTACAAATTACCCACATACCAGAACATTCAAACTATCCTTTATCTCCCCCTGGAGAGAAGAAAATTGAAGCTCCATGCTCTGCGTTCAGCAAAACTTTTCCAAATGGCAGGGACACTCTGTAACCAGTCAAAATTCAGCAGCTGAAGAGAGGCGCTGTGTTTGGATCACGTGTATCATACAAAGAATTAACCCGTGGAAATAAATGAAATGTCATGATTGGTTGATTAATGAAGGACACTGAAGGTGATTGGCAGGGACACAGCCCAAACCCTGCACAGCTGTTGGTAGTAAAGATTTCCCCACAGAGACACAACAATCTGCCACAGTTGAGTCATCACAGATTTTCATATGTATGGCATCATTTGTTGGTTTCTGCCTCCAGACAGGTCAGCAAAGGTCACGTCCACCAACTCACCTGTTGTTATCGATGTGGTTTTTCACATTCTGGTTTAAAAAGCTCCCACCATTCCCTGCTGTCTGCACTTCCCCTCCTCCTCCTTCTTCTTCTTCTTCTCCTTCTTTTGTTGCATTACAATCTGGCCTCGTTAATTTCATCGTACCACAGTTTGAACTCATCTTTCTCAATCCTGGATGATCCCAGCGCATTTTGACCGTAAGACCATTTCCCTCTAACGGACAGCCCTAATGATGAAGTGATTGTGTAATGATCGGTTGTGTCTTCAGCGAGTGCTTCAGAGCTGATGAGTCACTCAGCCTGCAGCCTGCCACATATCTGCAGTGAGACATGGCTGAGAGCAAACAGCCTGTCTCTGTTAAAACCCAGTGGAAATGACTGAAAAGAAAAGAAAAACTGATGAAATGAACAGAACCATGTTTGTTTCCTCTCCTTTTCTGAGCTTATAAGTTTGAATTCCATCACACTAAGGCGGTGCGAGGAGTGGTATGAGTGTGGAGCAATGTTTCATTCACCTTTAGGCCAATTACAGAATACGAAACCGACAAATATTTGGACGGAATTCGCATCTCATCCAGTCATGTCTTTCCCTCGCTCCTTTAGTCACTATTAACCCCTGCCGTATAACCAGCCTGTGAGTTAAGTAAAAAATCCCAGTGTTGTGGGTCAAAATAACTCTTTAAGTATTCCAATGATATAAAAAAAAAATATGCAGCATTTATTTATAGTCATCGTGCGGCGGGGGGAGGACAGAGATCACATTTATCCCTGGATCTGTGATGTTTTGTTTCCAACTCCTCTGGATTACTGGGGGAAAATATTTCCTTCCCAAATGAGGGCTGAGCTGAACAAGACATTTCCTCTCCCCCCCATTTTTTCGGCGTTACAAACGAACTGTCAATTTCTATTACTGTGTTCACTTTTTTGCATAATGAGGTAACTGTTAAAACATTTTTTTAAACCCTGCAGGGCAAACAAGTGGAAACTAATGGCTTTTAGACATGTTAGACGGCGAGTGGGGATGGAAAACAAGTCTGATAAAATCATGTTGGGAATTCCTAAGAAAAAGGAACGAAGAGTGACTTCATAGTGATTCACCGTTTCCATTGAAAAAAAGGCTAACGTGTCTCTATTTTGTCTATTTTCTCTGCAAACGTGTTTGTTGTTAAGGCTGGTTTTGAACTTGCAGCAGCTGAGGCAGCTGTCCCCGTGTGGTTATTTTCCACATTGTGTCTAATAGGACTCAGCTGTGATCACAGTTGACCTAATGACATTTCTAAAGGCTGTTGAGCAACACTGTAGTCCAGTATAAAGGTTAATCAAAAGCTTTGGCTGTAGCATTACTGGAGAAAATACCCTTTCCCTCATCTGATAACACTTATGGACGATGCTCCTGTAAATGTGGATGCCAACAAGCGGCGTTCCCTGGTGGGAAATGTAAGATTATTGTCCTAGAAAAGAGGCAAATATAATGTTTCTAAAGAAACTGCATCATGATAACTAACACTGTGTTCAGCTTAAAAAAAAACAAAAAACTTTGCTGTTTTCACTGCTGTTTCTACTGTAGCTTCTCTCTACCTCTGCAGGCTATGTGTTACTGACCTTTCATCAGCGCCAAATCTTTTTATTTTCTTTACTTTTTCACTGTGTTTTTAGAGCCGCTGTGGCCTCGGCCGGTTGTTTAGTTGGCCTTTCTTGGCAATATCGATGGTAGAGCGTGCCAAATTATCGACAAAATATAATAAATATTTAACGCTGCCAACAAAATACAAGTTGGAAAACAAAATACAAGAAGAGAACAGTGGATGCAGATGTAAAAGTTTACCAGTATTTCTTTATACATCCATTTTCCCTGAAAATAAAGATAAAGAAGAAATATTATTTAAAGTAAAAAGCCACTAACATCAGACTTTTAACCCCTGGAACTACAGTGAAAATATCTACAGGGAATGAGATCACAAGTTGAGATAGAGATGGAAAACATTATTGCGTGTGTTAATCAGCCGTAATCTGGTCTGACTTATTGGTTCACATGGTGACATCAGTACCTGCGCACGCACAGAACTGTGCTGCATCAGCACTTTAGCAAATGGAGGCCTTCGATCGAAGCTGCCACACTCTATCAGCTGTGTCATAGCTCTCTGCTTCGGAGGCAGCTCTTTATACATCAGTGAAGGAATTGGAAAAAAAATGTAATATCTCTGTTGCAGTGCTCAGTAGTATGAGTACACTGTGGTATTTGTGGACAAGGCTGCCGTCCAGGAGTCATTGAAAGGAAAAGGGAAACTATTATAATCAAAACTCAAAGTAACTCACATGGCTCTGTTTTCTGGCTCTTTTTTGTTGTTGTTGTTGTTTGGTTTTTCTCTCAAGGATTTTTGTAGGTTTTGTGTCTGTGGAGACAAACTGCGGCCTGGTCTCAAGGGTGGACAAGATACAGTACCATAAATCATTTTCCAGACAGGGTCGTGACCTCTTTCTCATAACAGCACACATGTTGTCTACAGGATTGCACAGATGTACACACACTCTAGGAGTTAAAAGAAGACAGTATAATGTCTGGTGAAAAATGAAAACGTGACCTTTATTTGTTTGTTTGGTTTGAGTTTTTTTAGAACAGTCGGAGCCGTGGCATTCTTTAAACTTTCTTTTTTCAGCTTTTGTGGATGCTGATGATTCATTTACCACACAACTGTCCACCACTGTTCCATCTTTCTACATTACCTCCCACTGTGGTCAAAGGCAGCAGTGAAGCTAATGAGGACCAAAATGTCAGTGGTCAGATTTGGCCACATTTTTCCAAATACTACTGCATTATATTTTCTCTCAAAGCCAGATATCTCTAGACCATGAAA